TAACTCTGCAGGACTGCCAAAAACGAGGCTTTCATACTTTTTTTTTCCTCTTCATCTTCTCTCTCTTGCACATTTACAAATTTCATGTACAGCCAAGCATCTTTTATATGTATTCACAAAATACAGCTAATGCTCCTTGAGTTGATTGAAGCAAACTGATGATGTTTCCATGCCTCACGCCTTCTCTGATTATCAGTTAATTGTGTCAATCAATTTTATATCATTGATTTCTTCTTTTATCCTCAAGTCTTTGATAATGGCTTCATCAAGAATCACTCTCTTCAATGTAGTGAATCAAAGAATGATTTTTCTGTGAAGCATTTGATCTGGATATCACTTTGACTTCTGTTTAAATTTTGTTAGGATCATTTTTAGTTGAATACTATTTCACTTTTCTCTCTTCAATGCTGATATGAAAGATTTCTCTCAGTTTTTTTATCATTGAAGACTTTTTGGCCAATATCTTCAACTTTATGATATACATTGTAATCCCTCTATATATATTTAGCTCTTTAAACTTTGTATTCAACATTCCTGGAGACTGAGAGTAAGCAATCAAAACTTGTTAGGTTTGATTTCTTTTCACATTTTCCTCTCAGTTTAAGGCTTTATCAGAATTTTTAACATAAGCAATTATTCTGTCTGCATTTTTACCTGTTACCTTTTTTTATTCTTACTAGAATGTGTTGCTTGTTTTTAAAGAGTATTTGTTTCCTGGATAGAGGAGTTCACTTTAAATTTGTATATCTTTGTCATAATTAATAGAATTTTGAATGATTTCAGGTTTACTGGTGCATTCATGTGTCCCACTTTGAGCGGGAACATTTATTTCATTATTTTCTGGTGATTCATCATCTGTATCCTCATCATTGGTTACTTCTCCAGTAATGCAAAACTATCAAATTCAAAACTGCTTCCTTCATGTGGTAGATTCTCAGTATCTTTATCAGTTTGATCTGAACTTGGCTTTCTTGTGTATGAAACAACTTTAGTTTCGCCATCATTGTTTCACATTCAGTACCTATTATACAACCATGTCCCTTGCACACTGAAATACCATAACTTATGTAATATGCTGAATCAGCATTATGGAAAATTTGTGAAGTAGTTTCTTATTTTTGCTCTTAATGCGTATTGAATTTCTTCATTGGATTCTGTTGATGTAAAGGATTGAGGAATTGGGTGAAATGCATTTAGATTGCATAGAATTTTAGATTTCAATGTCTCTTCAAGATTGGGTAATTTATCATGGTTTTTTGTCAAACATTAACTAATTTGAAGAATAAACATACACATTAGTTAAAGAATTTTTGGCACAGACTGCCAATGCATTAGTTAATTAAATTTTGGTGCCTTTTAACAACCATATCAGTCAGTATGGCATTTTGGTACTCATTCATACCATTGCTCCAGAGTGATTAAGATGACATTTTAGTTTTGTGTGTATTCAGTTACACTGACATCTCTCAAAAATCACCATTGGAAAATTATATCTCATTATCACTAAGTATTCCTTTTGATGAACTAAAAATTGAAGCCCTTACATAGTATTGCTGAATTCACTATCCTCTCTCTTTGACAGGATATTGCAAAGGGCCCTGAATTTTATGACAGTTATATGTAGTAACAAGTTTCCATTTAATTTTAAATCATGCCAACTGATATATTAAATTTTGTAAACAGAGGAACATATGCAATTTGAAGTGGTTTCTTATATTTTAGATGTATCAAGTAATTTTTATGAATTGCAATTGTTCTCAACATTGCTTTATCTTTGATATTACTCTCAATCATAAGTTTCTTCAGTCTACTTGCACAATTTTATGAAGGTCAGAGAAATACACATGCATTGTCTTGCGATATGCAACTCTAGAGTTTCTGTTGATGAGGACTGCATAATGGTGTGTAGATGTGAACTTGAGATCTCTTTCTTTGTCAAACATTGAGATTTTATTTTTTTGAAAATTTATCACTGTATTTGCCCTTTCCTTGGCATCTTTACTAAGAAGTAGTGGAATATCATTATTGATAACATCACTTTCAGTTGTGATCTCTTTTGCTGAAATATTTGTTGGAATATTTACACAGGTTAGTAAAGTGTATACTTTATCACTAAAATGGAATGTTTTGTTACTGTTTTGGTAAATAATCTGTTTTCTGATCTTTACATCAAAAAATTTCAATGTAGAAGTGTAACCAATGATTGGAACAGACATTCCTGGTGCAAGCACAATCTAACACAGCATCTGATTATCCCTCCAAGCAGTTTTCAAGTTGAGAAAATAAGGTACTATTTATTTTCTCCTCACAAAGTGCTTCATCATTATAGAAAAGTGTGTCTGGTCAATGAGGAAAATTCATAATCCAATGGAAGATTGATTTACAAATAAAACATTTTGTAGTTCTTCTAAGTTCATCACTTGACTGCTTCTGCAAATGATATTTTTGAAACAGCATCATTATCTCCTCTACTCTTCCCTCAACAATCATGACCAAATTTACCAACTCAAAATCCTCTGACTGTTCTTCTCTGTGGAATCTATTATTTTGCATATAAAGTGCATCTAATGGTTCCTCTTTAAAGCATACTATATTTGTTATCAACTTGCAATACAGCAATGTTTTTCTAATTGAACTTACAACTTTTCATACCACAAATTAGCAATTCTGTTCTACTTTACTTACTGGGTCAGGCAGTTCAATCTTGAAAGCTTTTCAAACCTTTTCAAAGTCATTAATGTATGTTTTGATGAATGTGTTGACTGATCTCTGGTATTCTTCAAATTCCACACAGGTTATGTATGCACACCTCCTTCAGAAAGAACATCTAAATTTGTAATCAGTTTGTCTAGGACATTATCTGTATCAACTCAAGTTCAAGTTAGTAATTTTAATGCTGCCTCTGCCATCCAAAGATAAAGGTGGCTGTTGGCACTTGTGCCTTTTTAACAACATTGAAGTAAATTACCAACAATTTTAGTACTTTCACCTATGTTTCATAGGATTGCATATTTATTAATTTAAGGGTTTTGAAGATTTTTATGCTTTTTTTTTCTCTGAAAATGTGGTGGAGAAAGGGCTAAAAAATAAGGAGATGTAATTTCAGTAATAATTTCTTAGAAATAGGAGAGAAGGAAAGGCTCTTGACAAACTTCATTTTCTGTGGTACTGCAAATTAATCACCAACTCAAAATATTTGGCTTGGCTTAAGTGTCATTTTTCCCCCCTCTCTTAACACTTGGTCAATACAAATTAAGTTAAAACTTTTAGACACAATTCTGTACCAAATTTTTTTATTTCTGTGTATCAAGAATTTAACTTGGAAACAGATGTTGGTTTTGAAGAATGACTGCAGTACCTTTTAACTGATTTGGCTGCTCTAAATTTATCCTCATTATTTTACTTTTCTTCTTCAAGTGTCAATCATAATTTTTTTCTTTATATTAACTAAAGCAGGGTCTATTCAGACATGTTACACAATACAGTACATATGCTGAGCAGGACTACAGCCCTCAACAACATTTCTCCTTTATTGCAAATTTTTTCCATTTGACCATTGAAATTTTATGTATAATTTTGACAAAATTGTGGTTTGAAAAATGAATCTCTATATATATATACTTAGAATATTGTTCAATTTAAAGATTATATTTTAATGGTAATATAATTAAAATTATTTTTCCTTTTTACAATGCATTGAGATATGCATAACTTAGGTATGAAATTAGCTAAGAAAGAACCCCTGTCTAAAAAAAGATAAATATTACAATAAATTTAAAAATGTGTTTACCTTAAACTTTAACTTTTATTGAGCAGACTCAAAATAGTTCCTGCATATGTGTGTGTTTTATTAGAATTGGTAATTTCATTACCACATGAAAGATGTACAAAATTACTGATAAACATTGGTTTGATAATATTTACAATTTGGCCAAGGTGCTTTGCTTTTTAACTTGTAGGAATCCTAAAATATGAAGGCTTATGGCAATATGTTGAAACATCAGTTCCCCATATGATCACTAAAGTTAAGTAACATGAAGTCTGGTCAGTACCAAGATGGGTGACCACTTGGGAATATCAGATACTGTAAGCTTGGATGTGCAGGTGGCTTAATGGATAATGGCTCCGAATTGTTAATCGGAGAGCTGAATTGGGTTGTATTCACTTACACACAAATACCCTTGGGAAAGATATGAATCCACCTCTTTCCCTCTAACTATACGTTAATTAGTAAAACTTGTATTACTAAATCATTATCTTAAAATTCTTACAATCTAAAAATATTTTCTGACTTTAAATAACCTGCAAAGGGTTGATAAGCCATAGAAAATGAATAACTCACTAAAAATATGAATTTTCTTTTTGAACTTTTTAAAATAAAAAGTATTAATGTATATGATGTGTAGGTGTAAATTGATTGTATTATTTCATTGAACTATTTTTTCTTTCTTTTAAGTTATTGTCAGAATAGGAATTAATGTGCCTCACTATTGGTGAAATTAACATATTGCAGATGAACAGTAAAATGAAGCAAGTAATTAGTGCAAATTTCTGCCAGAAAATGTTTTGTCTTAACCATAATGACTCCAAATAAATTTGCCAAAATATTACAAAAATGTTACAGCTGATTTAATTTTTTTTTAATCTGTTTAACAAAAAAAATATATTACAATTTTGTATCATCACTACATATTTTTAAATGAAAATATATTTTAACATAACTCCAGTTTTGCATAATCCCCAAACCAACAAGAACTTTTGACTTATTCCCTGATATGTCCTTTTTAAATGGGATAACTTTTAAATAAATTAAAACTATTTAACATGGAGTCAAAAAGCATGTTTCTGTTCTTCTCAGTTTTACAGGCACATTACCTGTGTATGTATGTGTGCACACACACACACACACACACACACATATCAATGCCTTTCACTTATCCCTCCTAATATTCCCTAGTATTACTCCTAATATCTTCTGTCTTAAATTATTTATATTTCAGGAATCTTATATGTGTAATCCATCGAATGATAGAATTTGTTGTAAGGGAAGGTCCTATGTTTGAAGCAATGATAATGAACAGAGAAATTAATAATCCAATGTTCAGGTAAATCTTTTATTTATTAAGAAGCTATAAAGCATAAACCTTGGTTCAATTTCTTTGTTAATTTGATTGTGTCTCAGACTTGTTGATTCGAAATAAATTCCGATTTCAGATTTCTATTTGAAAATCAGAGTCCTGCACATACTTATTACAGATGGAAAGTTTTTACTATATTACAGGTGAGTGTAGATTAAAATTTTTTTTTTTTCCTTTGTCAGCAATATCAATCTCACAAAAAGGAATATATTTAGTTTATACATGTATACAAGGTGTGATGGGTAAGTTGTCGCCATTTTATATTTTTAATTTTGTACATACACATTTGTTTTTATTTTGATTGCACAGTATATTAGGGTCAGTTGGGCGTGATGATACAATTCACTCTGCCAGAAATTTGGAAATGGTATACTGTACTGATTGGCATTTGTGCTGGAAGCTCCAACACAAACCTAGTCTTCATCCTGGGTATGACGATAAGCTACATCTGTGTCCTGGGTAAGACGATAAACTACATCCAACAGCAAGATCAGGAGATTTTGAGGAGCACCTCTTAATTGTTGGTGTCCCCAGGTCCACCCTGCCTCAAGGTGATAGTACCTGTCAGTCTCACATAAGGGCAAATAGCTAACCCCCTGCCAAAAGGAATCAAAACAGTATGAAAGCATTAAAATAGGTTTTATTACCAGCAATACATTGTTGAAGGAAAAAAATATTACCAGCAATATATTGTTGAAAAATAAAAATCTTGTTGGTATTAAATAACCCATTGAGGTTGATAGGCTGTAAACCAAACCTAGTGTTTGAGTGTCAATCTGAGGACTGCAGATGATTCAGAAAGAGTTGGGTGAATCTAATGGTGATTATGAAGGTATGGCAGCTTGGAAAACTCACTCTGATACTACACAGCCTTCAGCAATAAAAGAAAATTTATCAAACTGCACTATCTTTCTAAAATCTGAAGTTTTATAAATAACATTTTATTATGCATGAAACAATATTTGTACATTATTTTTCTCTTCATTTACTTAAATATCACTTTTGTCAGCATCCATTCAGTTATTCAGTTCTTATTTATAGAATTTATATTACAATTATTTACAATTGTTAATTAACTCTAAAATTTGATATTAAGTTAATACCATTATAGTTAACTGATAAGAAATGTAGACAGGTCAAGGATTTAAAAAGGAATGATTCTGTAATTAACAAGCCTTGTGTAATTCCACTTGGACAGAATTTTCTTTTGTTACCCCTTTTGTCAATTTATACTTAATTAAAATTACTCATAAACCAATGTTCCCATTGAATTGAAAATTGCTTTACCCTTCAAATTACAACATTTGAGCAGTATTACTCTAACATAAATTGCACAAAAATGTGCAGTTATCGTAACAACCATAGAGGAATCAAAACGTTATAGATTCTCAAACTTGATGCTTTTTTGACATAGTCTGAAATTATAAATATTTTCAATTTTAACAGAAATGGTTATATTTACATAGTGGATCCATGTGTATTCTACCAGGAGTTTCTTAAATTTTCAATATAATCAAATTTCTACAGAATGTTTTCTTTTTCACTATATTCTCATTATTGGCAAAATTTATTTTTGTCAAATTTAGTCTAGAGTGTAATGCTTTTAGGTACTAAGCACAAAAATTTCCTTCTGAAATCCAATGTATGATTTGTGGAAAAATACAGAAGTAAGCTATTTTTTTTTAATTTTATCAGGGAGATTCACCTTATAAGTGGAGGACAGAAGAATTCCGAATGTTTAAAAATGGTTCCATTTGGAAACCACCACCACTGAATCCATATACACAAGGAATGCCTGATGAATTGGTTGATAAAGATGAAAACCAGATAAAGAAAGGACAACTAACTGATAGGTAACTTTTAACACTATCTGTGATATTAAATTGATATTATAATAGTCTTTAATTCAATTACTTGGGAATTAAATTTAACTTAGTTTTTTGCAATTATCTTTTATAAATACTAGATTCTTATTAAATACTGCTTTATTTATATACATAGAAACAAATAATAGGTGTTTATTATTTTTTTTCTCTATCTTCTAATGATTTTCTTATAAGAAGAGTTCTATTGGTCCATTTGGATTCAACTGCAGCACTATTACACTTACAGTACTCAACAATTAACGATCTTAACACCATACTTTAATTGGCATTTTTCTTAATCTGTTAACTTTCCCTGCCAGAAGTCATCATTTTCAACTTTAGTGCACCAAGAAAACTTCAAATATGGTTGTCACCTTGTTACAGGGTATTTTTTTTCCTCTCCCCTCCTTTCCAGTGTACCCAATTTTATTGTTTAAATTTACTTTTAATCTATGTTAAGGAATCATATCACTTAATTTGAATTATTATTAGATGAAAATTCTTTCACTCACATGTAGCTAACATTTATTGGAATTTTGCTAAACTATACTGGTCATGTCTGTAGTGAGACATTTATTGACATTTATTATTTTTGTAAATGTAAGGAAAAAAAAATGTAGTTCTTGAATCAATTCCTTCCTTGCCAAATTAACAGCCTTTCCTGTCTCAGTCTATTGGAATGGAGATGTGATTCGTACCATAAAAGTTAACTATCTATTGAATTCAAGGAGCAGGACTAGTTTGAACTTTGGGCCAAAATTATCAATACAGAAAATTCTCTCCTAAATATAAGCCTTGTGTTCTTTGATACAATTAATTTGAAATTTTTCATCTTTTTTTTTTTTCCTATTCTTTCCAGAGGGCCCACATTCATTGTTTAATTTCACTTTTAAGCTATGTGAATTTCCTTCTCCCCTTTATTCTGATTGGGGATAGTTTGACTTACATTAATTTATATCTTAATAGTTGACACTATACTGTCATTTCACTAAGTAATCACCCGCAAATATGCTGCAATCATAATTCATTGTAACTATTCGTACAATACTTATCACAGAATGCGGTATAATAGTACACTTGCTGCATTCAGAAATGCCCACTATTGCTTCAAGAGACTACTAGAAAATTATTGCTTGAGGAGTCCAGACCAAGGTTGAAAGCATACAAGTTTGATCCAGGTAGATCTCTAACCAAATTCTGAATAGAGGCAAAGCATCAGTGCTTATTATAAATGAGTCCCAAGGTCATCTTATCCTTGTCGGACAAGGTGAAGCTTTTCACCTCAATCTTTGCCTCAAATTCAATGTTAGGATGACAAAGGCCATCTTCTTCTCAACTTCCCACGATTCACTGAGCACAATCCCAGCAATATTTTCATTATAGCCTGGGAAGTCTCAAAAGTTATCAAAATCCTTGGCCCTAAGAAGGCCACTGGTCCAGACAAAATCCTGATGGTTCACCTTAAAAATATTAACCCAGAGTTATCTCAACTTATAGCAAAATTATTTAACTGCTGTTTGAAGGAGAAATCCTTCCCATGTCTGGAAGTTGTCAAGTGTATGCCTGGTTTTCAAGAATGCAGATGAGTGCACAGCCCCCTCATAGTACATACCTATCAATCTTCTCAGTGTATCTTTGAAGCTATAATTAACATGAAGGTTGTTAATTACCTCAATAGGAACAACCTGTTGAGTGGCAAGCAGTACAAATTTCTATCTACCCAGTCCACTGCTAATATCCTAAGATTACTCACAGAATTAGTGAGGCACTTGACAACAAAAGCCCATTAGCTATGGAGTTACTGGAAGAATTTTCTCAGTTATAAAGTCCTACATAACTGTAGGTAATTGTTAATGGCCAGTCCTCCAAATCCCAGGCTATCAACATTGACCGTCCCCAATGTTCGCTTCTCAGTCCAATGCTCTTCCTCTTCTAGATAAATGATCTGTGAATATCTATGCTGATGATATGATATATAGGTGCCTCTCTAAAAGCCTTGACAACCAGAGCTTGACAGCTGATTTGTCCTCTGACCTAGCTCTAGCAGCTCAGTAGGTGAAAAACTGTCTGGTTACATTCAGTGCCTTAAAAATCAAACATTGCAGATTGGACCCAGAGCTTTCATCAGTTGTGATAAACAATGTTCCCTCAGGGAGGCCCTGTACTGTTGGGACTTAAACTCAACCCAGACTTCAAGAGGAATTGGTACACACAATCCATCATTAAAGTTGCTCAGAAAATAGTTGGTTCCATGTTCCATTCCTGACTCCTCCCTCTATCCTCTATCCTCTATCTTTACAAGAGCCGGGTAAGGCAAAAAATGAAGTACTGCTTTCATTTATGGGAAGGTGCTGCCCAGTTTTCACTTTCCATTCTGAGTGGAATCCAAAAGGGGTCTCCGCATCCTTGTAGGCAACAAATTATTTTCCACTCTGCAACCCCTTCTCACAGACGAGATGTTACAAGCCTTTTGCTGCTCTATCACTATTTCCATGGAGTGTGTTCAGATGAACTCCACTCCTTAGTTCCACCAGTCCTAACCGTTACAGCTAACACCTGCCATGCCATGCCATGCACATTGTAGTGAACCATCCCTTCATATTCCCCTGGTGAGTTCCACTCAAGCAGCTTCTTTCCACGCACCACTGCCTCGTTAAACCAACTGCCAAGATAGTACTTCCCTGATCTCTACAATCTTAACCTGTTCAAGTCTCGGGTTAACTGTTATCTTCCATACATATCTGCATAAGCTGTGCTTCATCCTCTCAGGAGGCTACTGAGGTAGACTTCAAGTAGCCTCCTGGCTTTGTACATTGAACACCACTGTAAAAAAAAAAAAAAAGACTTCTGATATGCTAGTAAAATGAAATTACCTAGCTTGATCTAAGCTTTCACTTCAACTGCTCAACTTAATTCCCATTCCAATTGACACCAGGTAATAATTTCACTTACTTGTAAAATCTACACCAGTAGCTCTGTTACATTTCTCCCATGGTCACTTGTAATATACCCTAATCAGTAAACTACAACCACAGGAATTCTCATTTCAACCAACCACCAATTATAGATTCACTTTTTGTTAAAATCCACACCAGTTACATTATTATAAATGCTATTTTTAACTGAAGTTATGATGGAACCTTGGATCACAAATACCTCATTACAAGCAAATTAATTCAAAAAAAAAATTTCCGAAAAAAACCAAAAAAAAAAAACCATCTACAGTAATGAATGGTATCTCAAGCAATGAACATGCAAGCTGGGAATATTGGCAGGAGAGTATCGGGTGCAGTGTAGCTTTCACCTCATACACATCCCTACTTGAATATGTCATGCTTTCTTTTGAATTTCATTGTATTTTGCACTTTTTTTCTTTTATTTTTGTATGTTGTTGTTTTAATAAATTATTAAATAAGGTACCATGAAGCCAAAGAAGGATAATGATAGCAGCAATGTAAAAAGAAAAATGTCAGAATCATGATAGAAGTGAAGAAATGGTGTTCATGTCTCTGATTTTGCTACTCAGTTTTGTAAAGCAAAATCAATGCCCTGTACTGTTCTAAAAAATGAAGAGACGGTCAAGATTATGGTAGATTAACTGAATTTTATCAAGGTGTTTTTTTTTTGTTTTTTTTTTGTTTTTTTTTATTATATTTGATTATGGTTCAGTATCCTTAAAAACAATCCTACTGATTGCAGAATATTTCTTAAATGAATATTATGTTTAGGATTTTATTGAAATTAAAAGTAGCATTAAAAATATTTTATATTTTGGATTTTAAATATAATAGATGTTTTTTTAGATGTTTTTTATTGCAGTTAGGATATTCAGTTTTTCTTTTCTTATTGTTTTGTTTACAAATTTATAGCCAACGAGATCGTTTGGAAGATATGCTCCGTGAACTCACTCCTGAGCGATCAAAAGTTGGAGAAGCAATGGTATGGTGTTTAGACCATGCAGAATCTGCTGAGGAAATTGTAGAATGCATTACTGAATCTTTGTCAATTTTAGAAACCCCTATACCAAAAAAAGTAAGTACTTAATAATAAAAATTTGTCTTATTTTGCTATGTAGAAATTTTAATATTTTTAGGGTATTCATTTTCAATTTTTAAAACTTAAATCACTTGCAGGTATTCATCTTTAGATATTTTTTTTTTATTTTATTTATCAGATATACTATGTTACTATTATATTTTGGATTTCCTTTCTTTTTTTTTAAGCTTTCAAACTAAACATGCAAAG